CCATCTCTTGTTCTCTCAGTGTGGGTAGCTTGGGTTTCCTCACAGTATGGCAATCTTGGTGAAGTCAAATGATTGACTTCCCCCAAAGTGAGTGTCTAAGAAACGTAGGTAGAAGCTGCAAGACTTCTTCTGACCTAGCCTCAGAAGTCCCAGAACATTACTTCTTTCTCATTCTGTCAGTCAAGCAAATCATTAAGGCCAGCCCAAATTCAAAGGAGGAGAATTAGACCCCACCACTTAATGGTGGGAATAACCAAGAATTTGCAGCCATCTTCAATCCACAGTAACATTCCTGCTTAAATACTCATATTTTGTGGGCCAGAGCAGCACACATAAGTCACTACTTGCCCTAGCTCTGGTGTCTCTTTAGACAACTCTATTAGAAATTTGCTTTGTACAGTCTCTCAATAAATGGTGCTGGAAAAACTGGATAAAACCCTCATCTCACACCATATACAAAAATCAACTCAAAATGGATGAAAAACTTAAATTTAAGACCTGAAACTGTTAAACTACTAGAAGAAAATATGAGAAATATGAGAAAAGCATCATGGCATTGGTATGGGAAATGATTTTTTAAAAATACGACCCCGAAGCACAGGCAACAAAAGGAAAAACAGACAAATGGGATTATGTCACACTAAAAAGCTCTGCAGAGCAAACAATCAACAGAAGAGACAACCAACAGAGTGGGAGAGTATATTTGCAAACCAGACATCTGATAAGGAAGGGGTTAATATCCAAAATATATGAGGAACTCAAACAATTCAACAGAAAGAAAACAAATAACCCGGTTAAAAAATGGGCAAAGGACTTGAATAGACGTATCTCCAAAGAAAGCATACAAATGGCCAATAAGTATATAAAAAATGTTCAGCATCACTAATTATCAGGGAAATGCAAATTAAAACCACAATGAGATATCAGAAAGAGTAATTCCTGCAGACACACACTGTGTTTTGCCAATCAGCCCTTCCCTTTGTTTTGACTACCACGTTTATGCAAAAGACTCTCAAATAATGCATCAGAAATGAGTCTCCAGCTGCCTGTTTTACATCTCCACCTGAATATCCAGCAGTCATCCCAACTCGAAATGTTGAAAACTAGACTCATGGTTGCCTTTCTCAAGTCTGCTCATCCTTTCTGTTAAAACATAATTGACGACCCAGTCACCTCTGTGTGAAACTTCAAAGTGAACTTTGATTCTTCCCTCTGTGGCGCCTTCTCTCATCTAATCAATTGCCAAGTCCCACAGAGACTCCTTTCACAATATTTATCACATCTGCCCATCCCATCTATTCCCACTGCTACCACCCTGGCTCAGTTCTTATTTCCTCACTTCTTTTTATTTTTTTTATTTTTTATCTTTTGAGACGGAGTCTCACTCTGCCGCCCAAGCTGGAATGCAGTGGTGCGATCTGGGCTCACTGCAAGCTCCACCACCCGGGTTCACGCCATTCTCCGGCCTCAGACTCTCCAGCCCCAGGCCCTTATTTCCTCACTTCTTATCAGGGCTATTGAAATGTTCTCCTAATTAGTCTTCCCACCTCCAATGCTCCTCTTGTTCCAACCATCCTTATTTTGCCTTGCCCCAGGCTAATCTTTCTAATGAGTAACATACATGTTAGGAT